TTAGACCCCTAAATATCAAATTGGGCACGAACTTTTTGCGGCAATCTTTAAGTACCCAGTCAACCTTGAAAACCCCAAAGTTTGAGCCGATTCGGAAATTTACACTTGTATGACTCCCTCAGCAGTGATGTTACTGTCTCGCGTTACGCAATCTGCCCACAAAAAGCGCGGCGCCACGGGAAAAACAAAATGTCTCAATATGAAGCGGTCTGTCCTGGTGATTAGCGGTGACGGTCGAGGCCGTCCGTCGTAGAGGTGTGACCTGTTCCGGGAAGAGCTGGGCCGGGCGCGCCAGCCATTGCTGGCTGGACGAGCATGGAATACCGTAAAATAGTCTCGTCGTTGGACCTGGACTTGTGCTCCTCCGTGATGACTGGGAGTGTTTTCCTTTTCCCAAGGACTCGATGACGGAGTGCACTATTGATACCACCACGGCGGGAATCAATCAGACATTCATTTCCAAAGATGACGCCATTGCAGTTATCCCCCCCCCCCCCTCCCTCTTTTCCTTCTGTTTAAAGGGGAGTGCTGGTAATCTGTGTGCTGTGTCAGCGGCCGGCCTTTTTTCATTTTCAATAGGAATAAATCCCGCGGAAAACAAAAAGCACCGTTCAGCCGCGGTTTCTCTACTTTTCTCGCCCATTTTAACCATCCTACTGCTGCCGTCCCTCGAAGGTCGTCGCGGGTACCAAACTGATCACTGGCATCAACAGCATCAGCGGCAGCAGCCCCCCGCGGGTCTGAAACTTTTCCCCTGCCCTTGTGCTTTAAGAGTTCGCTCTGGCGCCCCCCATAGCGCCCTCGTGGGAGCCCCCCCCCCTCCCTCCCTGCCCTGTACGTCCGCGCCTGGTCCGCGCGCCCTCGCGGGGCGTTGGCGGCGTGGCAGCGCGTGGCTGTCCGTTGCTTTGGCGCGCGGTCCTGATGTGTTGTTTGTAAGCAGGCTGCGCGCCGCTGGCCCGGCTGGTCTGTCTGTGACTGACCGTGGTCCTGCCTGCCAGTGTCGCGTCGCACGAGCAGTCGCCTGGCCGCGCCCTCTGTGCCCCGAGTGAGAAGTGCAAGTGCCCCGCCCTTCCCCTATCCGCCGAGGCCTTCCCCGAGGCCCTGCCCCTGGCCGCCGAGCACGCCGCCGAGGCCCTCCCCTTGGCCGCCGAGCACGCCGCCGAGGCCCTCCCCTTGGCCGCCGAGCTCGCCGCCGAGGCCCTCCCCTTGGCCACCGAGCACGCCGCCGAGGCCCTCCGCGCGCCATGCCCGTACTGCCGAACCCCGGCCTGCTCATGCTGTGTCTGTGCGCGCTCATGGCGCCGTGCTGCGTCTCGTCCGCCGACACCCGCGACGTCGTGGTGCGCTACGACGGCGTCCTCGTAGGCGGCCGCGGCCGCGGTGCTGGTCGGCGCGCGTCTCTGTCGCACGGCAGGTACTCCTGCTCGCCCAGGTCTTCCCCCTGCGCGTATGACGGCCCCGTGCACTCTACAGTTCGCTCTCGCTTTCTGTTGCAGACTTTCGCGGCCCGCCCAGCTGTCTCGACTTCTCGAGAGGGACGGCGAGGAGAAGAGGAGAACAAGAAGAAAAGTCTCAAGTGAGTGGACCGTACTTACAACTATCTCTCTCTGTCACCTGCTCCTGCTCCCCGTGCCGGGCACGCACCCTGTCCTGGCGCCGAGTCATCGCTTCCTGTCCCTGTCACACGGCTCCAGCCCCCC